GGGACAAGCTGAGAAGAGAAATCGGAAGCAGGGTTGTCCAGGCCAAGTCGAGTGAGCAGGGCTTTCAGTCTGCCGGAACCACAGGAGAAATGGCAGACGTCAAGTAGCTGAAGCTGTGCGAGTAGCCAGGAGCAAAAATGACGTGCGGTGACGTCATCGGTTGGGAAGAACCGAAGAGTGAAACGGAGGACAGTGAGAAGTTGGCAGCAGTGGTGTTGCCAAAATTTGTGCTGCCTGGCTGTGCGTCGTTGTCGGTGTGCTGTTGAGAGTCACTGGTAGAAGTGACTCGCAGCGGCCAGGATGCGGCCCAAGGCCGATGACCCCAGTTTTGATAGGGTTCGCACCGGGATGCCCCATAGCACAGCGGCTCGTTCGAGTTGGGCTCTGGTGTCGGAGTCCAGTGTGGTTGCCCATTTTGCGCAGTCGTTGGACCAGCTTTTTAGGACTTGCTTGCTCTCTTTGCTGGTTTTCTGGGAGGTGATCCATCGCTGGACTTTGGTGTCGGAAATGTCGGGTGGGAAGTTGCTGGTGAGCCATTGGCAAGCGTGGGGAGGTGGTTGGAGCAAGTCGCGGGGCTCCTTCCAAGTGGGTGGGGAGGGGGGATGGGGAGGGGTCGGGGTGCCGCCGTGGGTGGAGGGGTCTGAGGGTTGCCGCCGAGGGTGGGGGGAGCCGGGGGGGGTTGGGAGTCGTCTGCAATGCGAGTGGGCAGGGGTAGGGCGGGGGATCCGTCCTGCGGTGATGCGTCAAGTGTAGTCAACCGTGGTCGCTTCATGCCGAAGTCCAGGAGGGAGGCCTGAGATGGATCGGCTGGGCGTTTGTTGGATGAGGTGGGTGTGGGGGGGAGAGGGGGGGATGAAGCCTGCTGGGCGAGTTGGTTGTGTGCGTCAGCAAGCTGTTGCTGAAGCTGGAGTATGGTGGCCGCGGAGGCCGGATCGGCCGTAGTGGTGGGTCGGAGGGAGATGAGGAAGTCGAAGATCTTGTTGGTGAGTAGCTTCATGGCTGCTGGTTTGGTGGTCGAGGCGCCCTCCTGCGTGGCGACATGGAGGGCGAGGGCGTCCAGGTCGAGGTGCCGTTGTCGGATTTGGCTGAGTAGTCCAGCAGCAAACACTGATTCCGGCATCGACTTTGCGACAACGATGCGGACTTCGCCTCCGTGGGCGAGGTGACGCAACCACCAACTGTTCCACTGTTCGTGCATGAGGTGGAGGAGGGGGACGCGAGCGATGTCTTGTCCCTCGATGCCCATTTGCCGAGTAAACGCGGTGTGCGTTATGACCTTGGGCAGGTCGTACCCCGCGACGCGGGTGGTGTCGTAGTGATCGTCGCCAGGGTTGAACTCGGCTGGTGTTGGGACTGAGTGGACGGGTCGAAGTGCCGGGGGAGGTTTGGTTTGCGAGGCGGTGGAGGGGGAGGGGGAAGGTGGAGGGCGGGTGAAGTTGCCGGGGGGAGGGGGGGGAAAGGGGTTGCCGCCGGGAGGGGGGGGGAGAGAGCCGCCAAAGGAGGGAGGACGAGGGCCGGGGTGTGGTGGGTAATGGGGACTAGGTTGGCCGTAGGTCTGACAGGGAGTCGGATGTGTAGTTGGCGGTGTCCATGTCGTGGAAGAGCATCCGTAGGAAGGTCCGGACAGGGCCCCGCACGGGTTTCCGGCCATGTTGTTGCCGTACATGATGCCATGATGATGGGATGCCGTGGGCGAAGGCTGCGGTGGTAAGTTTTGCCTTTGGAGCATCGGAACCAAACCTCGAGGGGGTTGGAAAGCCATGCGAAAAACACGGGGGAAAAGGAAAAGTTCGAACCAAAAAGCTGGTGAGCGGAATCAAGCGGGTAAGGTCACAAGGCGAGAAAACGGTCGCAGAAAGGCAGAACAGCAAAGCAAAGAAAAAAGGCGATCAAACAGTGCACCAATTCTTTTCCTGGTTGGGTGGAAGATGGTACACTTGCGCCCCGCTAAGCCGGGCGCTGCAGCGCGATGCCTCTCAGCATCGCAAACTTGGAGTGAAGGCACCACTTTTTGCCTCGGCGGCATGCGAAGTGGCGCCGCACGTTGTGTTGATCCTCGTGGCTTCCCCCGGATTCGAGGATTTTGTGCTGATTGATGGAGCGTAGTTCCCCAAAAGCGATGGCGCCGAGTTGAGACTTTCCGATTGTAAAGTTCTGCAAGAGCTGGCCGAGCGTGTCGGGCGTGCATGCCGTGGGGGTGGCCTGAGCGTAGCATCCAAAGCTCGGGTAGTCATGGTTCTCGGGCCTCCAAGCAGCGGGTCGGATCATGTTCTCATGGCACATGCGGCGCACTCGATCCGGGGTGGTGCCGTGCACATACATGACAGCGTGATGGGAGGCCGTGCCGGATCCAGCTTCCGGGTCTCCGCCAGCAACTGGCCAAGGATGAGGTCGGGGAAACCAAGTGGTTGCGAACACCATGCCGTGTGATTCCCGTCCCAAGAGGTGGTAGAAGCTGGGATCGAACGGTATGGGATCATCCGTGTCCATGGTTCGCAGTTCCCAGCATTCCGCGAGGAGATCGGCATGTGAAGGTGGCAAGGCAGGGTCCAGGTCCATCAAAATGGCCTTAGTCTGTTCCATCCTGGAGATGTCCAAGGCTGGAAGCGGGTCCAGCTCCCCCAACTCCCTAGGCGTGGGAACTCGCAGCGGGTCAGTCTTGGCCGTGTCCATGACGTTTCTCCATAGATCAAGCCACCGGTTGTCGGAAGTGGTGGTGGCGTTGATGTCCGCCTCCGATGGAGGGGGATCCAAATCACCGGTGTTGTCGGAGGGGGGTTGGGGAGGGTGAGGAGTAGCCGGCGTGGGTCGGGGAGGGGGAGGGGGAGGGGGAGTGGAAGTGAAGGCCGCCGCAGGTGCTGGGCGAGGGGGCAAGCTGGTGTTGTGGTGGCCGGTGCGGGAAGTGGGGTGGGGTTGCTGCCCATGGTGCTGCAGTGACCAGGACGATCGTTTGTCCTGGTTGTTTCGGTGGCCGGTGTGGCTGGCGCCGTGGTGGTGCATGTCCCAGCGGTTTTTGTTCTGTGGTGGGTATCCCCACGATTGGTTCCGCCAGTGTGAGGAGGACCATTGAGACTTGTTGGGATCCTTCCCGGAAGTGCGCCAGGAGTCCTTCCCGGAAGTGCGCCAGGAGGTGGAATCATGAGTAGTGTGAGTGGGTCGGTGCGAAGTCGTGGCACTGGGTGCAGGGGAGTGTCGATGGTGGGACCTGTGTCGGGGGGAGCGGGAGCGGAGGGAGACAGTGGAGTGGTGTGCACGTCGGGAGTGGTGGGAGTGTCGGGAAAGGGAACGTGACCTGCTGTAGCTGCGGGATCGTCGGGTGTCGTGTCGTCGGTGCGACTTGTTGTGCCTGCGATGGTGGCTGGTGTGGGAGTGGGAGTGTCGGTGCTGCCTGTGGCGGGAACGGGATCTGCGAGAGTGGGGAGGGTGCCGAGTGTCCGGGGGAGGGTGGTTGGTTGAGGAGGTAGCGGCAGGAGCCGCAGCGGCAGCTTCGGGCGCGCGCGCCGGCTGAGGCTCGGGCAGTGAAGATGGCATGCTGCTCTGAGTCATGAAAGGCATGATGGTGCCAGGTGCCAAGTTGCCGTAATTGGGAGGGCCACCGTAGGGCATCATGGCCATCGGGTTGCCAAAATTCGAGAGGCCGCCGTAGGGCATCATGGGGAAAGGTGTGAAGGATGCCGTCTGCGAGTTGGGCGACGGTACAAGGTTCATGGGCTGCGTCATCTGGGATGACAGCTGCAAGTTCGGTCCACAATTGCCTGGTGAGCCGGACGCGGTGCCGGTCGCAATGCTGTGCAGGAGCGAATGCATCATGTCATAGAGCTGGTGTCCAGCCATCTCGCAAGGGAGAGAGAAGGTTGGAAAGGGGTGAAAACAAAACCACACCTGCAGCAGAAAAGCGTCAAAGGTGCAAATGCATGCGAGCCAACTTCAACCTGCGAATCGAAACCAAACAGAGGGAATTCCACCAGGGGACCGCCAAAACCCCGCGGCAACGGCAAAAGTTTCCACAGAAATGCATGCGAGCACACAGGGGTTCTCAGAGGTGCCTGTCAAGTGGCCTCATGAAAGTGCCTCATGTGGCTCATGTGGCTATGCCGATGAATCTGAACTGAACTCATCCGAGACGAAAGCTTCCATAAACGCCACGAATTGCAGAGTTGGTGTATGACCAACTCGTCACTGGCGCATGAAGCTTAGGAGCCTGAAACCTCGTGGGTGCAGCCTTGCTTCAAAGGCAGGCAGTGCAGGCAGTGCAGGCGCATGAAACCAGCAGAGCACCAGTAGGGTGCGGAATACCTTAAGACCTCAAGCTGCAGCCTTGATCGTGGTCAAACGCGCTGAACTGAACTGCAGCTTGAACTTGAACACTTGAACGGTCTTCCCCTCGCAGGGGGCTCCCGCATATGGCGAGTCCAGCCCACAGCGCCATGTCGGACAGGCCGTGGGTAAACACACTTATCTCGAGAGGCTTCACTAGCCGAGATGCAAAACGCAGTCAGTAAAAATGCTTGAATGCAAATGCAAATCAACAGGTCACAACATCGACACCGAACAGGAAGCAACAGCGACAAACAGAAACCGCAAAAAGAATCAGGAAAGAGGGTCAGGAAATAGGCAGGTACGCCGGATTGATCAGATCCGGTATCCACCGAAATGCCGTAGCTTCATTGGACTGGATAGGCAAATCGGCTCCAGTCCCCCTGCAATGTGGAATTTCCGTCCGTGCTCCAGGACGCTTCACACACACACACACACACACACACACACACACACACACACACACACACACACACACACACCCGCGCGCGCACACACACATATTTTTACTCAAGGTCCGAAACAAGTTCCTTGGACTTTCTGCACGTTGGCTTCAAAGGGGGGTTGCGCCAGGTTCTTTAGGTCTGTTTTTAGTTGAACCACTTCTCTACCAAGGAAGTCTCCTTTAATGACGCAGTCGCGGGGAATCCTACATTTTTCTTTTTCCGACACGTCTTGACCAGGTCTGGTACTCATCCACCTGCAGCCGCGCGGCAGCGAAGAACTTGGCGGCCGCGGCCGCGGACATCTTGCCAGCGCTCAGCGACAAGGACGTGAGGCGCCAAGCCGGTTCTACCCGTGCCCGTGCGACGTGGGATCCAGAAGCAGGGACCCATTGTTGTTGTCGACCCAATTCTGTTCGGCCCCAAACCAAAGAGGTAGGTAGAGAGTCGCATGAACTGGGTGCCCTTTAGAAAAGAGTGTTTTTTGCAGTTGGTACCCTACTTCTTAACTATTCAGGCGGGCTGGGCGTTTCTAACCCAAAACTGGTGGGAGGCGGGAATCCAACAAATCAAAGAGCACAAAGTCCTGTTCAGACCTCTTCCAGAGTGCCTCTTAATTCTTAACTATTGCAGAGTCATTCGTAGTCACGATCCTAATGTTGCTTGTGCGCATCGAGTGTTGAACATGTGAGGGATAGAGGAAGGTGGGGGGAAAAGGAAGGAAGACAGGAAGCAGGAACAGGAAGGGGGAACAACAAGAGTTCATTTGTTGTGAACAACAATGTGTCGATACTTGTCGTGTTTCTCCAGTTCGAGCTCGCTTGGTGATCCTATGAATCCTATGGAACGACATGTGCCGCCTGCAAGGCCCTATGTCTCCCACTGGGCGGCGGCATCAACAGTTCCCTTGGTCGATGCCCGCAAGATGTGGCTGGACACGCGGATTAGTCGAAATGGCACCGACATCATGTGCATGCAAAGGCCGGCCGGCGCTTGTGGGAGCGGCGTTGACGCAAAAGGACATGAGGCCCCAGCTATCAGCATGCTTCAACGACTGCTCAGTAGTAGGCAGGCTTTTTCTGGGCCCGCTCTCACGCGTTTTGAATTTCAGAGTTCTTGCAGGCAGGTTGCAGTTTTGGAGGGTGCATGTCTTTTTGAGCAAGCTTTGCATGGACAGGAATGCTGTCGAATTCCCTGCTGCGTCCCTTCTGTTTTTGACAGCCTTTCATAGTACGGGTGCTTGGCAAGTGTGAAGGTCCAGGACAACTTCTTTAGCACCGTTTAAGGAAATCAGTGTGAACATGTGTGTGGGTGTGTCCGCGGGCCAGGCATGGGCATCTGGCGTAGCAAGCAGGGGATGTGGCTTTTTACCCACCCATTCCCGCCCCCTAAAGACCACTAAGTTTCGACCTACAGTCGATTAAGAACGCTGCTGCACCTTTTAGTAGGTGGTCCTCCTACCTGATTTAATTGGGGTTGTGGTAAAGCCTACTCATAGGCCTCTGTCTGAACTTTAGTAGAACTAAACCTCAGTGGAATTTGGGCGCTGCTCATTTGTTAGAACCCTGGACGAATCACCCAACCGTTCCGTAGCCAGAGACTGACTGCAGGCATGAAGACCAGCTGCAGATGTGTCATTACCTGCTGACGGGCGATGTGCTGCACAAGGAAAAGCCGGAGGCAGCGGTTTTTTCAGGATTCCTACAAGCGAGTCAAAGACATGCGTGAACCTCATATGATGACCCCCCTGGTATGAAACCCAAGTTAATTGCTCAACCCAAGTTTTTGTTCAACCCAAGTCAATTACTTATGGCTTGATCATAGTAACCAGCTCCGCAATGGGTCCAAACATGACCCCGGGCTTATATTTTATATACATGTATATATATATATACATCCTAGTATGCTCCTTCAGTATTCCCCTAGTGTTCCCTGAGTATTCCTACGATTGCCCTAGTATTCCCCGAGTATTGCCCTAGTATTCCCCGTGACGTGCGCACTCGCACGTCACGCAAGCGCCCCACACACACACACACCCTCCCACCCACCCACCCACCCACCCACCCACCCACCCACCCACCCACCCACCCACGCACGCACGCACGCACGCACACACGCGCGCGCGCACGCACTCGCACGTCACGCAAGCGCCCCACACACACACACCCTCCCACCCACCCACCCACCCACCCACCCACCCACCCACGCACGCACGCACGCGCACGCACGCACGCACGCACGCACGCACGCACGCACGCACACACGCGCGCGCGCTCACCCACGCACGCACGCAGGCGCGCGCGCGCGCAAGCACGCACGCACGCATGCGCGCACGCATGCACGCGCGCAGGCCCGCGCGCCTGCGCGCACACGCACGCAATCCCCGGGCCAGTTGCCACGCAAAACGCATGTCAAAACCAAACGTTTTCCTCGGTTTTTTGCAGTAAAAGCTCGCATTTTCATGTGTGGAAGGCAGCTCCCAGCAACATCCCCAGCATCACCAGCATCACCGGGGCAAGACCGCAGACTTGCAAGCCCAAGGCTGCAGACCCAAAAACAAGCCCAAAAACGCACCCGCCAGAAGCAGATGATGCAGGTGATGCTCCTCACTTTCCTTTTCACGCATCCTCGGCATGCGCAGGGTCGGCGGCACGTTGCGGCAGCCCCATAGAGCTTCGCTCTAGAGCCTTGCTCCAAAGGACCAAGGGGGTAATCTGACACAGCCGTGCGGCCTGCTTCGCAGGCCGCGGCCGGATAACCAGGCTCCCGCCTGCTGCCCCCGACCCTCGGCGCATTAAGGGAAAAGTCATAAGGACCGGTCCTACCACGGGTGCCAGTCCGCAAACCCAGGGACCACTTATACTTACCTCTTAAAAACAGAACAACTTTTTTGGTAACATGGGCTATATGTCTGTAAAAGATTAAGTTCCCCAGGACTTGGAGTTTTAAGGGGTAAGTAAAAGATCCTCTACGACCACAAACAACGGGACCAGTCCCAGGACCGGTTTTGGCTGACCACAAGTAATCCGAAGCACCAGAACCAGGGTTCCGGGACCGGTTGTGCTTTCGGGTGTGTTTCCAGGGACCAAAAATTCATCATGGATTCCAGTTGCATCCCACGCCGGTCCCCTCTGCAGGAGGCTGGGACGGGAGGCAGAGGGTTGGTGGATTCTCCATGAAGGAACGGCTTGGAGAATACTCTCAAGCTCAATCTGTCTGACTTCTCTTAGGTTTCCTGACTAGGGCGATACTAAGACAATACTTGGAAAGTACAAGGGTTTCTGAAGGTAAATACTGGACAATTTCTAGTAGAATACGGGAGAATACTAGGGGTATACCAAGAGAATACTTAAGAACAACAAGGGGTAATAACTACACGCACACGCGTGCTGCCGTATGCCGCAGCAATACAAGTCAGACGAAAAAATGTAGCATATGCCATTCGGTTTGTGGGGTTGTACAACTGTCACTGCAAATTGACACTGTGCTGTCTTACATCTCTTGCACGTGGCTCACAGCGGCACTCAGACTTCCATGGTTGCAACACACACACACACAAGGTGACACACATGCCTGTCATGCCGCGGATTTGTGCTGGGGCGCACAGGAAGTGAATTCCACTGCTGTTTGTGTCATGCCGCGACACTTGGAACGCGCTGCATTGCTGTGCAGCAATGCAGGGGTCAGATTGCAGAGGCTTTTTTTTTTACGTTCAGGATTCCACTGTATTGGTCAGGACGCAGATGAAGCTTGCCAAGGATCGCCCCGTATTCTCCTTTCCCTAGTATTGCCCTAGTATGTCCCTAGTACTGCCCTAGTATTGCCCTAGTATTGCCCTAATATTCCTTACTCCTAGAATTTCCTCAGCATTCCCCAGTATTCTCCCAGTATTTGCCTTTAATTTAGTATTATTATTGCCCCAGTACTCCCCTAGGATTGCCTAGTATACCCCTTGTATTTTCTTCACTAACCCCTAGAGCTCCCTTAATATTCCCCTGGTAAAGGAAGGGGAATACTGGGGGATTACCTTCAGTATTCTCGAACTAACTAGGCAGCTAAATAGATTGATAACTATTTGATTAGCCAATAAACTAGCTGACTGGCTTTTAGAGAAAGTTCATGATAACTATCTAATTGACAAAATCGCTGACTTTCTAACTGTTGTTTGACTAATTAATTGATCTTGCGAATGTTGCTGCTTGAGCCCGAATAGCACGCGTTTCGAACATACACATGTTTCCGACAGTAGCCATTTTGCCAGTGTTGTTGGCAATTTCCCGGGATTAAAACCTTCTTTTTTGGGGACCGGGTAGCATATATACATTATGATTATGTATATGTATATATATACATATATATATATATATATATGGACGTATATACAATCATTCATCCTCTGAGATGTTTGTACTTCCACATACACCTCCGTGTCAACACTAGGGATCCCTATAAACGGTTGGTTCCCTTGTGAATCCGCCTTTCGTTAATTAAAACGTGCTGACCCTTGTTCAATCATGGAAGTTGTCAAGAGGCCTCAAGAGGATGGTAGACTGCCAAAACTCTTCTGTCCACTTCCATTTGGTTCATGATCCTTGGAATCGTGCGGTTGCTCCCGCCGTCACTTGTTTCGATTGACTGTTTCAGAACTTGAGACACTCCAAGCACGGCGCCAAGTTTGGTTTGCTGTCACTCACTGGTAGTGAATCACTAGGCAGCCCGCTTGGGCAACTGCGACACGTAAAAATCTCTCTGATTTTGCCAGCAGGCATGTTGTATTTTTATCTGGACACTTGTGGAAAGGGTGGCAGGCCTTTTCCGCTGCATGAGGGAAACCGACGAGTGGGGGAATCGTTAAAGACAATCGCAGGGATAGATTTGGGATAGACTACCCTCCCCCAGGCTAACATGGAAGCTCCCAGGACCCCTTTAGAAGACTTGGCTCCATGAGCTTCCATGTTAGTGAGGGATCGACTCGACTCCTTGGAGCGGCCTTCGGTTTTGCTTTGGATCCAGGTGGGAAATCCAGCCATGTGGTCGCTGCCACCTTCCGCCCCGCCATTGGAGAAGGGTGAGAGCGCCTTTAATGCGGTGGAGATCGATGACTTGGCGCAGTGCCAGGACAGAGCATCAGAAAGGTTGCCGAAGATGCCCTCACACAGCTCCAAGGCCCTTAGATTGAGTTTTGGGGGGTTTATCAAAGTCAGCAACTAGGGTTGTTGCCCTACCAGCAACTTGGGGGGCTGCGATGAGGGTAGAAGACTGCGGCCACAAAGACAAACCCCCACCAGCAGTCAACAAAGAATAAATTCCAAGGACCTCTAGTCAGGTCCCACTATTTTGTGGCCATGTTTGCACCCATACAAATCCCCTAACTTGGGCAATCATAAATACGAAACATCCTCAAAAGAGCGAACTAGCAACTGCAAATTCCTGTTGCCAGCTTTGTGCAGAGCACCTCGTTTTGACATGGCAGTGATACATGGTTCATTCCTCAGGAGCCAAACATCCGGCAGAAGCTGTCAGGGGAGCTCTTGAGACGCTTGGCACGTCTCCGCACCTGGCTCCAGTCAAAGGAAGCTCGGAGATGGAAAGTCAAGTTTTCCTTCATTTTTCCAGGACCCTGTTTTTTCTCTAGGACCTAGACTTTAGGAGCCTGAAAAACAGGGTCCTTCTTTGGTTCCTCTTGGTTTCAACCCGAAGTTTGGGGATTTTGACTTGGTGGTGGTAAGACAACATGCGCATAAAACGACCCAGGCTCGTTACAAGGACCCCTGCGAAAGGAAGAACATGACATCCAACCGGAATACGAACAGGGGGCTGACGTGGCTGCCGTAAGAGAGAGAGAGAGAGAGAATTCTCTTTTCATTTTTCGTTGGGTCACCAAGAGCAGATCTGTTTTTTGTTTTGTTTTACATATGTCCAGCTCCTCTGGCGAGGAAGTGGTGCTCGATTTGCGCCGTGACTTTGTGAGCCCGGAGGACGGGAAGCTTTGTGACGGGATCTGTGGGGAAAAGGCGCTTTCATGCCCTTGCTGGTTTCAGTTTGGGTTTCAGTCATGAAAAGCCGGTGCCGTTTGTTTTTGCAAAGGGACACCTAGGCTAGCCCCCATCCCCCTTTTGTCATACTGGGGCATCGGAAAAGCCATTTCAACCATTGCAACCGCTCTCGTGGCATCTCCGCAACCCGAATGCTTAGTCTGAAGGGGAGAGAAGACACGACAAGACTTTGATCCATGCGGGGGTTGATCTGAGGATCCCTGACCTGTTGGGTCTTTAAACGTGGCAAGTGGCAAGTGAGAAGCTTGTTTTGTTTATGCTTTTTGGACCAAAGGCAGTCAATCGGATAATCATTTCGGCAACTAGGTCGCTCGAACCGGTGCATGCGCGCGCAAAGTATCGGTTGGTTTGGAAGCCGCACATAGTTTCTGTTTTGGGCAGCACAGCTCATCACAACAGCTGCTTTGGCCTGCTGGACTCGTATCAACCAAGGTGCAGACCCGGAAGAATATGCTCACACAGGGGCCACAGAAGATCAGTTTTCGCAAAAAAACAACATCAGCTAAAAGATCTATCGAATGCCATGCGTCTACATGTGTATATATATATATATATATTTATATATATATATATATATGTATATGGACCCTCAAACAGCAAACAATCATTTGTAGTTTTATCTTTTGACTGCATTTGGTGTGTTTTCTTAGTGCACGACAAAACATATATATATATATATATATCTATATCATACAAGGATTGAATGATTTGCTCGCAACGGATGAATTTTGGGTGCTTGAACGGAAAGCATTGTGCCCGCAAAACACCAGCAAAAGCCCGCAACACGCCACGGGGAAAAAACACCACCCGCAACTCCCGAAAAGATAATCATCCATGCACATTGGCATCATCAGCAGTGACAACGGCGCCCTTCTGGCAACAAAAACACCTGCTTATTGGACAGAACAACGAGTTATCCCCAGAAACAATTGACTCGCCAAGTATTTCTACAAACCGCCTAAGAGACAAACACACCAAATTATAACATTTGAGGGTCAAGTAAAAAGACATAGGGTAGACTCACACAATTTTCCCAGCAAACACCGGGAGACTCACTCATTTCATTTTCCCCTGGAGGAAACAAGGATTTGTGACCAAAGAGCTCCCAGAAGGTCCACGAAACAATTTTTCTTTTTGGCCCCGGGAAGCCCACTGGACATGACCATCGCAAGCTCATGGGAAAACTGGGAATGGAGAGGTCCAATAGCTGCCTCCAGGCCGCAATTGTCGGATGGATCGAAAGATTGCATCCGTGGACAATGTCCTGGTCGAATGTGTTGGACTACCTGCCGCCGAAAGAATTCCACAAGCTTGCTAGATCATGCTGCCTGGCAAGCACAGCCAGTCGAGTTGTTGGCCAATCTACTGGAATTGAGGAAAGGATTTGGCCTTGCACACTTCGTTGTTCCTTGCTGGGGCGCTTGAAATGAGTGATTGAGCATCACAGTTGCTCGTGATCCTCTCAGGCTCTGCTCAGGGCGATACTATACACTACGGGTATTCCATGAACTGGATCGCCGAGGTGTATGGCTCCTGCATCATGGACTATGACGGGCATCCGGAGGCAGGGTTGTTCCCTAAAACAAATGTGCTAACAAGCTACAGCTGATGAATCACTTTGAGTAGCTTCAAGAAGGCCTCCTTGTTTCAACGCTTGGTTCATTCCAACCCCTTCAAACAGCAACCCTGGGAGGCTGTGGCAAAGATCATTGAGGGCTCACATGAAATGTGCCAGCAAGCTGAAAGGTTGATGCCGTCGGGGAAGTTGCTGCTCCTCCCTCCTCACGAGACACCCATGAACATTACTGGCCACTTTCTAGCTATGGGCCTCCACAAAAGGTGGGCACGCTACTTTTTCTCGGATGCCGGAGAATTGCAAGTTGGGATGTTTTCCATGCAGACCTACAATCCATTGGCCACCAATGCCAACTGCCTCTCGATGACATGGACCTATGATATGGACATGGAGCTGAAGTCAGCCAGTGGCACTGAGCTAGCGGACGATGCAATGCCTGATTGCCCCATGTCGTGAGCAGATTGCCTGCTTTTGCTGTTTTGAGCGGTTGCACGTCTGGGATGCTCGAGCACCAGCTGCTACTGGTGAAGTTAGCAATCTTTCTTGCAACACGCACAATGCCCCCAGTGTGGAGAGTTCTGCAAACACCTGCGTTGCTGCTGTTTTTTTTTGTATTTCCCAGGGTGGAATCTGCTCAACAGAGGCCGCAAGTAGCTTTGGCGAGTTCAGTTCTTTGGAGGCCGCTCGTGCCACCTGAACCCTGAATGCGCCATTTGGGGCCCCCGACCTCCTTACACCTCTAAATCAGGTTGGCAGCTTAGCGCTTGAAGCGCGAGAGCCCCCTCGCGAGCATGTGTGCAAAAGACATGCGAGATCAATACCCAAGGTTGGCAAGGGTCCGCGTTTTGCTGACATGTCCATGAGTTGCGTTGCATATGTGACTGCCACAAGATACGATAATTGTGGCGGGTGTTTGGGCGTATTGTGGCAAGTGTTCCATTGGTTTCCATTGGTTCCATTGGTTTTTTGGGCGTACTTCAGGTCGTTAAATGTTGGTTTCCTGAGCTTTCCTGTCTGCGCAATGTGTGCGGAAAAGGCGCTTCATGGCATCATCTGTGAAGCCAAGGAAGGCCTCCAACGGCAGTGTTCTGAATTTCAAGGGGCAACGTCCCTGACGTTTCCCAAGCTTTATTCCAGTTTAGCTGGGAGGATACCGATATATATATATACATATATATATATATACATAGGTTATAATATATATAAAAAATAGATAGACAGGTGTATGAGACGCCCCACGGAATTGTTCCCACTTGTCGATTGGGTGTTGAGAATGTAGTGCCTTTTTGGGGCGATGCTATGGGGACGCCAAAGAGAAGCCACGAGTCCCCGCTTATTTTGTTTTGAGACACACCCATCTATGGCACACCCATCTATGGTTTATTTGGGGTTCGTCCCAAGAACTTCTCGAAGACGAGTGAAAAGGGGGGGTCACGTTGATCTACACGAGTAGAATGCTTGATGCCAAGAGTTCCAGTTTCCACTGGTAACCAGGATGTGTACCCCCGCGACTTAGGTAACCAGGAGCTTGTCCTTTCTGTTTTGCATGGTTTTCTTTCGTTACTTAGCACATTGGCCATCAAATAACTCGATCCTTGGGGTCAGGCATCGTCATAGATGACCGGGAGTTTGGACAAGAATCAATCAAATGGTTAAGGGAAAGAAGCGACCACGGGGCCTACAGGGGGCCCACAGATTCGGAGTTTTGACCATGTCAAGTATGATTTCCCTTTTGCTTTGCTTTCCAACAACCCAAAAATTGTATTTGCCTGCACACCATGGTTTCCATTTGTTTCTTAGCCAGATTTATATAGTCATGTTTACTTGCAAGTGTTTGTTGTTTTTTGGGATGGGAGGGGTGGGGTAAGCCTATTTACCCACCAATTATGGGTAAGTGTCAAAGGGCCGTTGGTTTTTACGACAAAAACACCTGGCGGTTGTCCTTCGGGTTTCCCTTAAGACCAAGCCTGAGGTTCCCACCCCACCCATGGCAAGCTCTCTGTTTAGGGCCGGCTCCCGCGGCTCCCGCGGCTCCGCGGCACCTGATGTTCAGCGTGGGCAACGTGGTGGGCTCCGGGTGTTGGCTGCTGAGCGCCTCGAATCGTCGAAGCGAGTCTCCCATGGCGGGTCCCATTGGGTGACTGGCGCGAGACCCTTGAAGCTGGTTGAACTTCAATGGGTTTCGCGGGGTCTTTGGTGCCCCCCTGCTTTTGGTTTCTATTCGGAGGGTTCCAGAAATTCCGGAGCTTTTGGGGATACCACCTGGCGCTCTTGTGCCCTAGCAAGAGTTGAGGACTCAATGCAGGCCCGATGGCATCCAGGTGGTTCCGAAAGGGTGCCAGCAAAACGGACCAGTTCTCCTGGAAGATTTGATGCTGTTTGCAGACATCTTGGCGCATGACTTTGAACGAGAAGGCAAAAAGACGCCAATCCATTTCAGGTCTGCCTCATTTTGAGTGATATACGCATCTTGCAAGGAGCGGTCATCTGCACCAGCTTGGATGGGCCCATATTCACTTTGCAGCTAGAGGGGGTATCGTTTTTGGATGGTCCCTCTTGAGTGCTGGTGGGAATATTGCTAGCAAAAAGTTAACTTGCAGGGGAAGTCTGGCCAGGTATATAGAGGGAGCCCTGCCCCAGTGGTTCCGTTTGATTCTGGCAGATTATGTTGCTGCAAAGAGGTTCATTTAAGCTTTTGTCTCACTCCGTACGCGCCAGGGTTTCCTTTTTGATGTCCAAAGGAAGCCGCAGTGAAGTTTAATATGGGCAAATGAAGCTGTGGCTTGACAAAGACTTGCAATGGGCTTCGTAAAGAAGGCGCAGTTCTTTCAGTCTGGTGCAGTACTCCAATCCCCCCACATATGGGTTTGAGGGGGTTTCTCCAAAGACGCACCTATATATGAATACAAGCATCATGCAGTTCGCCTTGCTGGACCAACGTCGGAGCTACCTTATACAGGTGGAAAAGTACTTTCCCTCCAAGAAGAAACCCTTCCCCTTGTGATTCGTAGTCAAAGGCGAACCAAGAAGAATGCACTGGTTTCAAGGGACCTCGATTTTGAGAAACACACATTCGTGCATGGACCCCCCCATTTCATGGACCTTCAAGAGGAGAGAAGGGGTGTTCCGCTGGATGGCTTAGCATCCCCCGAATTCGCCTCCGCGAATTCCGAATTGAGGTGATCACGCAAGCAGCGGCTTGCCTTGATCGGTTGCCAGGGGGTTGACGTCGTCCCCGCATCAAGATGATTCTATGGCGAGCTCATTGGTTCTGGGCTAAAACGAGTTCACTACGATGTGGGTCTTTTGGATCTATGATGCTTGTGTTTGTGTCTGTTTGTATGATGTTTCTGTGTGTGTGTGTGGGTTTGTGGTCGAGTTTGAGGTGTTTGTTTGTTTTGCTTGTATGATGCTTGTGTGTGTGGGTTTGTGGTTGAGTGTGCCTGTTTGTGTGGGTGTGTGGGTGTGCGCGTGTGTTTGTGTTTGTGTTCGTGTTGTGTTTCTTTTTGTTGTCGTTTTTGCTAGCGGACCAGAAACCGCGCTCAACGGCGTGCACTTGTTTCCTGCAACCCTGCAGCATGCGTAGCACGCCCGTATGACTGCTTCGCCCTGGCACTGCGCGCACGCCTGACCATGGTAACCGCACCCGCTCGCCTGAGACCTGACTATGGTAAGTGCTTCGTTAGAACACTGCGCGCACGCCTGACCATGGCAAGCACACCCGCCCGACTGCTTCGTTATAACACTGTGTGCACGCCTGACAATGGTAAGCGCACCCGCCCGACTGCTGCGTTACAACGCTGCGCGCACGCCTGACCATGGTACCGCCCAGCGCCGCCCGACTGCCGCATTGTAACACTTCGCGCGCACCTGACCATGGTAAGCTAACACTGCGCCCGCTCTGCTGCTTCGTTATAACACTGCGCGCGCTTGACCATGGCAAGCACACCCGCCCGACTGCCGCATTGTAGCACTGCGCGCGCGCACCTGACCATGGTAAGCTAACACTGAGCCCGCTCTGCTGCTTCGTAATAACACTGCGCGCGCGCCTGACCATGGTAGGCACACCCGCTCGACTGCTTCGTTATAGCACGCCTGACCAAAGATGTTTTTCGCGGACGCGAAACGGTCGTCTGCCTCACTGGCACGATAGACTCTACTTGGTCAAGCTGCAAAGCTTATTCCGATTTCGCTGCCTTCGCGCAGCCCGCATCTCCTCTTGTATGTGAAGTCTTGGCAGCGGCGCTATGTCTTGCGCCAGCGAGATGTGGAGCAGCAAACTGTCGTAGCGATCGCAAAAAATGTGAAAAAGGAGAAGGCAGGGAATGGGCGATACAATTTGCGTGTCGCCTCAGCGAAACGCAAAACGCCTCTAAAACAGCCCTCTGGGAGGTTTTTGAGGGACTCAATGTGCGTTTCGCTGAGGTGAAGCGCAAGTTTTCTTCTGAAAAGCGACAATACGCGAGCGCGGATTGCGGTCCGCCGGGTTTTTTGGTGTGTCAGTTGGTATGTCGGTGTGGCTGTGGGCTGTGGCTGTGGCTGTGTGTGTGTGTGTGTGTGTCGGGGGGGGGCCTCCGCGTGTATGTGTTTGTGTGTGAGTGTGTGTATCATTGCTTAAGTGTTTTAGTGTGTGTGTGTGTTTGCGTGTGCGTGTGGCTGTGGGCGTGTGCAGGTTCAAATTGTGTAGCAGAATAGCAGGAAACAAGAGCATCTTGGCCACACCTTGATTTGCGTGTGGCGGATTGATCATTCGAACGAGCTGCCTCCAGGACTGGGAACAATTATATATCATGCTGTGACGAGCTCATCCTTTGGGTTTGGTGACTCTGCAAATGAGCAAGCAAACAAACGCGTTGGTGCTGTGCCGAGTCCGGCTGATGCCATTGATCTAAGACTCTCAAAAGGTCCGGCAGTTATACACAGCCAAACAGTTGCACACGCACACGCACACACATTGTCCTCATGTAATCGTGTGTAAATTTGGCAATCGAACTCCATTTTCGATCACCTGGAGCCTCCCGACCCTAACGCAATTTCGGGGTCACATTTCGTCCAAATGAAGGGGTCATGAGTCATGGCCATGTTTGGTGGCAACCCCCCGCCATTTTTGACATTCACGATGTTTTTTGTTCGGTGTTGCATACGCACGCATCGCATGAGGCAACAGCTGGGGCCTTAGCCTTCAATCGGACCAGTTCCCCGGGCGTGGGCCTGGTTTCTTTTTTTGTTTTTTTGCGTTTTGGGATGTTTCTTTTTTTTTTTTGGGGGGGAGGAGGAAGATTCAGCGCGATTTGATGCACACTTCTGTTTTGATCGTTTTTGATTTGTTTACAGTGAGTGACCTCCCAGCAACCAGCCACCATTTGTCCCCTGTGCGCCAGTCATCGAACAATTTTACCTTCCTTCGCTATAGAGCCGCTAGTAGGGCTTTCAAGTCCTTTCTGGGTATTGGGGAT